GGGCTGGGGATTGGAACCCGCCACCTTAGGTGTATGTGGCTGGTGCCTTAGCCGCTTGAGCCACAGGCGCCGAGCCAGGAATTTTTCTAATTAATGTTCAAGTCTTCCCAAACCTTTCTGTTCAAAGAAATACCATCTTTGAGATAATTTTTGTGCCTGCTTTATGAGAGAGAACAGAGAAAACAGAGTGCTCATTTCCTTTTCTCTGTTTTCCATACCATTTTAAAAAAAATACACTTCTAAATATATCTTAAAATTTTTTTTTTTAATTATCTGAGCTCTGAGTTCACTTATTGTATTTGGGTGATAACTTCCCTCCTCATAGCTTTGTAAATCTGGGGATCAGAGGACTATTTTTCAAATGTTATAGAAAGTGTTATAGAAAGAACACAGGCTTCATATTCTCATTCTATACCTTTAGAACTGTGCGAGCTTGACCAGTTATATAACTTACCTGGGCCTACTTCCTCATAAGTAAAATATGAATAATACTTTTAGATCAGTTATATAGAGCAACATACCATTAGTAGACCATTAATAAAAATAGCCATTATTTTGATTATAAAGAACACTCTCCACAGGGCATGGGTCTGTTCCATCAGCCAGCATGGACATTGCCTGCTTTTAATGTTTTTCTAGCTATCTAATTACCCTGGCTCCTCCACCTAGATTAGGTCATCTTGGGCTTTCCCTAAATGTCTCTTCAACTCTGATGGGTCAGAATACTTCACAGCTCTCCCACTCAGCTTTAGCTTCTAGGACTCTTTCTCTTGTATTTAAAAACACCACATCATTCTAAAAGAGCCACTGGTCTCACTGACCACTGGTCTCGTTGTCAGTTTATTTTTATTTCTCTTACATTATTATCACACTATATTATTCTGGTGAAAAACTGCCTTTTAAAATTATAAATATTATATTCAATCAACCTTTCACTACATGGTAAATAACGGTGGAGCTTAAGGTGGAGGTTAAAGGCTTGAATTTCAGGGTTGGGAATCAGATTTGATTCTGTAGGTAATAAAGGGTCATTGGGAGCTCTCGAATGAGTTGAGGATTAAATCAACTGATTATACAAAGTGTAGGTAGGAACTTCTGACTGGTGAGGATCAGTTAGGTAACTCTTGGCAACCGTTTCTAAAGCAGTTAGAATCTCAGCCAGAGAAATGGCACAGGGAGGATTGGGGCAAGCTTTTTTAGAAGACTTTATGGAGACAAAATTTAATTTAATAGGAACAGTGAATGTAGCAGCCAAAGAGTCAAAACTAAAGGTTTTGAGTCCTGCATGACCAAGAAGGTAAAACTAAATCTTAGCCCCCAAATCCCTATTTTTTATGTTTTTAGTGTTCGGCTTCTTTATTGCAAACTCTGAAATGTACCCTTCACAAATCTTTCTCTAGGAAATGAAGCGTATTTGTTATGGGCCACAGAATTATGTTGAATAATAGAAGCTGGAAAGATGGAAGACAGCAATTAAGGGAAATATATGGTTGCAAAGTACCTCAAATAAAATGTGTCTCTTTTTTAACAAGTAAATTAACAGTATCCAAACACTCTTCAGAGACAGCATCCAAGCTCTTGACATGGTAGCCTTATTAGTGAAGCAATGTGAAAAATGCTCAATGACCTTGACCCTTAGGCAATAACCATGTGTTGTGCATAGAATGCCATCAATCTTTTAATCTGAGAGGCTTCGAGAGCTATTAGACTCAACTAAATGCTGTTCTTCTAATAAAATTTAAATCATGATTGTATGAAATTCCAGGTCAAGATTTATTATAAAATATAGTAAAAGCTGCACGATCCAACATCTACAGAGAAAAGAAGATTATGATTCAATACATCATCTACATTGCATTTTTATTTTACTGTTTGCTTGGAACTAGAGGCTCTGAGAGCGACAGGGCTGATTCAAATCTTTCTTCCCCTATTTATTAGCTGAGTACATTCCAGCAAGTTTTTGCTTTCCCCACTGGTTTGTTGTACAGTTTAACGAGATAATAGATATAAAACACTTAGAGCACAGTGAACACAAGAAAAGTTGACAATTCTTATCAGTAGTATTGTTAACAAAGAAAAAAAATATTGTTTTATATATAATGTATTTACTATGTTAACATTTAACATGTCTGTATTTCTCACATACATGCAAACGAAGTAGGAAGGCCCCCGCTTACCACAACGACTGCTCATCACTTCACGTACAGAGCTCTAGAAAAAACGTAGAGCACTAATCTGACTGCACCCAAAACTGGACTGTGTTCAAAAACATGATTTAGATAAAATTCAGGACTTGTAAAACAGAAGGCGGAATCGCTTTGTTTGCACAGAGAGCAAGGCGCTCAGAAGAGAAGTCTTTGGACTCACAAGAGGGAATTCCTTGTTACCCCCAAGCAGGAGCCCAGCTGCGCCCTACGGGCGCGCTTGGCTGCGGTGCGGCGCGGGGTCGCGGGGTCGCGGGGTCGGGGGCGCGCTCGGCGGCGAGGAGGCGGGCCGGCGAAGGGGGCGCGGGGGGCGCGGGGGCGCGGGGTTGCGGGGTCGCGGCTGCGCGGCGGTTGAGCCCCACGTGCAGGTGCGCGCCCCAGGCGCCTCCGGCAGCCGCCTCCCCCTGCTTGCCGCCGCACGCGCATGCGCGGTTAGCAGTCGCTGCTGCGCGGCCGCCAGCGGGATTGGTCTGGGGAGACGCCGGGACCAAGTGGCAGCGATTCGGTCATCTGAGCTGCCGCTGCCGAAAACAGGCCCTCAAGACAGGTGCGTGAGTAGCAGGCCACCCTCCCGCGGCCCACTGTGCTCAGGTTAGGGTGAGGCATCCGAGTCGTAACTGCGTCCCTCAGGGTGGGAACTCCTGGGCCGCACCTCTTCATTTTGCAGCTCGAGCAGGCTGAACGGATAGGGGCCAGGTGAGGGGTGGATATTGAGTTTGGAGATGGAGGTGCAGTGAGCGAGGGTCTTGGGTGGGCTTTGCCCGCCTCGTGGGTGCGAAGAAGGCCAGCGCTGGACCGAGGGAGTTGATGCCACCTCGGGCCAGCGGGGCTGCTGTGTCCCCCTGCTGCTCTGGGGCTGAAGCAGGGGCAGGCGCGGAGAAACCTGGAGCCCTGCCCAGCCCGGCCTCCCCCTGCAGGCTTATGGAGCCGCGGGGAGACGAGTCCGTTATTCCAGCGGTTGCCATTTCTGCCTCGTTCCAAGCTCGAGCCCGGTGCGCGCCCCCGAGGACTGTGAAGGGGTCCGGCGAGCGTCCAGGTTCTGCTCGTTCTGCTGCCTACGCCTCACAGAACCGCAAAGAAAACCAAAATAGGCTCAGTTTACTCAATCCCACCTCCGTCTAGGAGAAGAGACCCAGCCCTCTGAGCAGCAGTGGCCATCTGGGGCCAGTCCCTAGATAACTCCGCGCGGAGTCCTGTGTGCGCCGCTGGGGAGGAACCCAAAGGGTTGGAATCCAATGAGGCCCTAATTACCAGGGACTCATTATCGCCCCAACCCTGTTTACTATCAGTCAGACACTTAAGCTGTTTTTATTTATAGCATCAGCCCAGGCAACAAGAAGAAGTCATTTGTTTGGGGTTTAAAAGCCAATGGTAACAAAGCTCAGGAGAAGGAGATAGAAGGTAAATAACTTGGCTATGGGAAGAAGCCTCAAGTTAGAAGAGGGTTAATTTATATTGAAAGTTTTGATGCATACAAACAGGCAAAAACCCAATCCCGGGTTATGGTTTTATGTACTTCAGATTTTTTACATTACTATAGGTAGCCTTCCTTTCGGTATTTATCAATCTGACCTCTTTTCAGTTTATAGTTTTGCCTTTGTATCTGATTGATTTGATTATCCAAGTACATTTACATCTTACCCTAAATCCTTGAACAAGATATTCTCTCTTCTTTGTCTTATCTACTTATTTGATAATGGAAAAGTCAAACTCTGTAAGTTATTTTAAAGAGGTTTATTCTGAGCCAGTATGACTTGCCTGAGGCCCAGAAATACACACCAACAAAATTGGGTGTTTTCCAAAGTCTTTACAAGTGAAAATACTTTTATAAGAAAGTCTAGGAGGAGGGA